CCGGTGATGGAGAAGGAGATGATGGACAGCAGGGGAGAAGCCGGAGCCCGGTGATGGAGAAGGAGATGATGGACAGCAGGGGAGAAGCCGGAGTCCGGTGATGGAGAAGGAGATGATGGACAGCAGGGGAGAAGCCGGAGTCCGGTGATGGAGAAGGAGATGATGGACAGCAGGGGAGAAGCCGGAGTCCGGTGATGGAGAAGGAGATGATGGACAGCAGGGGAGAAGCCGGAGTCCGGTGATGGAGAAGGAGATGATGGACAGCAGGGGAGAAGCCGGAGTCCGGTGATGGAGAAGGAGATGATGGACAGCAGGGGAGAAGCCGGAGCCCGGTGATGGAGAAGGAGATGATGGACAGCAGGGGAGAAGGCGGGGCCCATCAGCGAGCGTGGAGGAAGAGGAGGCAGGCAGGCAAGGAGTGCGACCAGCCCACCTGAGGGTGGCCCTGCAGAGCCCACTATAGAGAGTCTTTGGTGGGCTCTGCAGGGTCACGCTCAGGTGAGCTATGTGGGCTCTCAAGTGGGCTCTGTAACTAGAAATCACAGGGCCCCATACAACATTTTGCTATGGGGCCCTGTGATTTCTAGTTGCGCCCCTGGTCCCCTCCTCTTTCTTTGGGCGTCCATCACCAAGATGGCATCAATTAGATGACTGCGCATGCGCGATGATGTCATCGTGCATGCGCATGGTGACATTGCGCGCACGTGTGATGACGCCACTGCGGGGTGTCCCCTGGTCTTCGCTCCGGGTGACACTCGGCCTCGGGACGCCCCTGGTTGGGGGGAAGGGACATGTAGGGGGTTATGTTATAACGAATATAAAGATTCTTGTAAAAAAAAAACACAAATCCGCACTAATCCATTTAAAGGAGAACTATGAGGGGGGAGAGATTTTCACTCACCTCATAGTTCTAGAACGTGGAACTGCCAACACACGCCCGAGCCCATCACTAGTGACAACTACAACTTAACCATTCATGAGATAAGCCCCCCTGCCCGCAGACCCCCCACTACCACCGGGCCAGGGTTGTGAGGAAGAGGCCCTTGTCCTCATTAGCATGGGCCCCCCCCCGGCAAAGCACCCTCCCCATGTCGAGATACACCAGATATACCGTTATTAGGGCAATGGGGAAACTTGGCAGTCTTCTCAGCATGCTCTTCATACACAACCTGAAATAATCAAGAAATAGGTTACTCTTGTGACCAATAACAACATTTTATTATAACGAGGGTGTCGGGACTGATAAATATTACCCTATAATGGATCGATTCCAGCTCTGAGGAAAGAAAACTGTTCCTGAACTACATTTCCCATGAAGCCTTGCACCGCGGGGTCCTGCGCTGGCTGTCAGTGTAAGTGCCAGAAGGGAATGAGGAAATAAATGTAAGTCTCGGAAAAGGGTAACACGTCGGTCCGGCGCACGGTGATGACGGAGCCGGGTGCGGGGCGGAATGGATAGCGGGGTGCACGGAAAAATTGGAACGATATGCGAGACAGGCAGATCGGAGGGCAGCCCGCAAGCTCGAAGGACCCCCGGGACAGGACTGCGGGAGGCCGCATCAGCTAAGCCGGTACCGGTGTAGAGCACTGCGGAGACCCGTGGGGAGGAGCCAGACTGCAGCGCTGACAACCGGGGGGGAGGAGCCAGACTGCAGAGCTGAGGGATCACCAGAGTGCGGAGAGCACGGTCACCGCATAGAGAGGTAGAGCAGAGTACACAGCCCCCGTGTAGGGGGATAACATGGGGGGAGGAGCGCTAAACAGATGGGGGACACTGACCTTGCAGAGGAGTAATACCCCCCTCCCCATAGAGAGACACCCCCTCCCCATAGAGGGGCACCCCACCTCACCCCGTAGAGGGGCACCCCACCTCACCCCGTAGTGGGGCACCCCACCTCACCCCGTAGTGGGGCACCCCCCCCATAGAGGACATCACACCTCACCCCATAGAGGACATCACACCTCACCCCATAGAGGGCATCACACAGTCACCCCATACAGGGACACCCCACCTCACCCCATAAAGGGCCATCACACCCC